AAACATCAATAGAAGTAACAGGTGCCTTAAAGTTCTACATACAGGGTGATTGTTACAGAAACATCAATAGAAGTAACAAATGCCTTAAAGGTTTACATACAGGGTGATTGTTACAGAATCCTCAATAGAAGTAACAAGTGCCTTAAAGGTTTACATACAGGATGATTGTTACAGAAACATCAACAGAAGTAACAGGTGCCTTAAAGTTCTACATACAGGGTGATTGTTACAGAAACATCAACAAAAATAACAGGTGCCTTAGAGTTCTACATACTGGGTGATTGTTATAGAAACATCAACAGAAGTAACAGGTGCCTTAAAGTTCTACACACAGGGTGATTGTTAGAGAAACATCAACAGAAGTAACAGGTGCCTTAAAGTTCTACGTACAGGGTGATTGTTACAGAAACATCAACAGAAGTAATAGGTGCCTTAAAGTTCTTCATACAGGGTGATTGTTACAGAAACATTAGAAGAAGTAACAGGTGCCTTAAAGTTTTACATACAGGGTGATTATTACAGAAATACCAACACAAAAACTTTAAGGCACCTGTTAATTCATACAGGGTGATTGTTACAGAAACACCAACAAAAATAACAGGTGCTTTAAAGTTTTACATACAGGGGTCACTGTTACAGAAATATCAACAGAAGTGACAGGTGCCTTAAAGTTCTACATACAGGGTGATTGTTACAGAAACACTAACAAAAATAACAGGTGCCTTAAAGTTCTACATACTGGGTGATTGTTACAGAAACATCAACAGAAGTAGCAGGTGCCTGAAAGTTTTACATACAGGGTCACTATTATAGAAACATCAATAACAGTATAATAGTGAGAATAAAACATTCCTTTAGGTGACACTCATAGAGTAGGCCCTTACAGTTGTTTATTGTTTTAACTGAACATATGGAGATTAGTTACCAAGTAAAAGTACAATTTGGATTCTTTAGTTTTGTTTACATGAGCAGATATTTAACTCAAAATATGTATACATCTTGAAGCTTAAGATCTTTCTGTTGGTAAACTAGTAAGCAATCTTCTTTTTCTGCCTTATGTAAGTTTGTGAATTCTTTACAGTTTCAGATTTATTTTGAAATATTTACCTGTCATAAAATGAAATGTTTGACATTAAAAGTAGAAAAACAACATGGATCACAAAGCATTAACAAATAATCTCATGAAAAAAGAAACTGTTATCAATTAGCAAGGTAAGGGGTTTTAGATTTTTAAGATTAAACCTGCTAAGCTAAGATAAGTGTGACAATCTGCTTAGTGTTGAGCAAGTTGAGTTAGTTCAAAGTAACAGATAGCACTGAACAAGCAACACAAGCGGAAACTTTAGGTAAGAAACAATTTTGAAAATATGGTAAAGGATATCCCAGGTAGGTGATTTGTAGAAACCTCTTGAAAAATATCTTCATGAGAAATATGGTAAAGGATGTCCCAGGTAAGTCACTTATAAAAAACCCTTGAAAAATATCTTCATGAGAAATATGGTAAAGGATGTCCAAGGTAAGTGATTTGTAGAAACCCCTTGAAAAATATCTTTATGAAAAATATGGTAAAGGATGTCCCAGGTAAGTGATTTGTAGAAACCCCTTGAAAAATATCTTAATGAAAAATATGGTAAAGGATGTCCCAGGTAGGTCATATATAAAAACCTATTGACAAATGATGTTGTAAAGGATGTCCCGGTTAGGTCACTTATAGAAACCCCTTGAAAAATATCTTCATGAAAAATGATCTGGTAAATGATGTCCCAAGAAGTCATTTATAAAAAAACCCTTTAAAAAAGATGTGATAAAGGATGTCCCAGTTAGGTCGTTAACAGAAACCCATGAAAAAAATGATACTGTAAAGGATGTCCCAGGTAGTTCATTTATAGAAACCCCAACAAAAATGTGTTGTGAAGGATGTCCCAGTTATGTCATTTATAGAAACCCATTGAAAAATGATTTGGTAAAGGAAGTTCCAGTTAGGCCAATTATAGAAACCCCCAAAAAATGATGATGTAAAGCATGTCACAGTTAGGTCATTGATAGAAACCCCTTGAAAAACTATGTTGTAAAGGATGTCCCAAGTAGGTTATTTATAGAAACCCATTGAAAAATGATGTGCTAAAGGATGTCCCAGGTAAGTCATTTAAGAAACCCATTGAAAAATATCTTCATGAAAAATAATGTGGTAAAGGATGTCCCAGTTTGGTTATTTATGGAAACCCATTAAAAAATGATGTGGTAAAGGATGTCCCAGTTATGTCATTTATAGAAACCCATTGAAAAATGATGTGGTAAAGGATGACCCAGTTTGGTCATTTATAAAAACCCATTGAAAAATGATGTGGTAAAGGATGTCCCAGTTAGGTCGTTTATAGAAATATCTTGAAAAAGGATGTCCCAATTAGGTCATTTATAGAAATCCATTAAAAATGGTGTCATAAAGGATGTCCCAGTTAGGTCATTTATGGAAACCCATTCAAAAATAATGTGGTAAAGGATGTCCCAATTAGGTCATTTATAGAAACCCATTAATAATGGTGTAATGTCCTAGGTAGTTCACTTATATAAACCTCTTGAAAAATGGTGTGGTGAAGGATGTCCCTGATACATCATTTATAGAAACACCTTAAAAATGATGTCCCCGGTAGGTCATTTATGGAAACGCATTGAAAAATGATGTGTTATAGGATCTCCCAGTTAGGTCATTTATAGAAACCCTAGAAAAAGTATGTGGTAAAGGATATCCCATTTAGGTCATTTATAGAAACCCCAAGATTAATGATGTGCTAAAGGGTGTCCCAGTTAGGTGATTTACAGAAACACATTGAAAAATGATCTGGTAAATGATATTCCTGTTACATCATTTATAGAAACCCCTTTGAAAAATGATGTGTTATAGGATATCCCAGTTAGGTCATTTATAGAAACTCGTTAAAAAATGATGTGGGAAAGTATATCCCGGATAAGTATTTTGTTAAATTTAACAAAATTGATACATTGATTTGACTGTGAACTACATTGTTTATAGAAATGGAGAAACAGAGAAGAATTGGCGTTAATAGATTTACACTTTTTTTGGTTTTTTTATTTAGTGTCATAGTTATAGTTTGAATACTGAAATCTGACAAAAAAGTTAGAAGCCAGTAAGTCTAATACTTGTCATAAAAGTTGCATCTAATCATCAGGTTTTTTCATCACATTTCTTTTAATTTGTTGATTATGCTGTGGAGAAATTAAGAGGAACCTAAAAAAACAAAATTACAGTGTAACATGATTTTTATCATAAATATTAGCATGTTAGTACAAGTGTTTTAACCATTGTTTTTTACTGTCTTTTAACAGTGGGTGTTTCATTAAATGCTTTTGTTTTCGTGTAAGGTTTCAAGGATGTGTAACCCTTTGATGTTGTTAAAGCAGAATGATAATTTTTATTGAAAAAAAGGATGCTTATCTGGTGCATTTAAGAATGTTTTTCTAACAAATGGATATGTTTATAAACTCCCTCTGGAGAGGATTATTTTCAATATACATTTTATTTATGGAGAACCTTTGGGTCATAAAAAACTTCTTGAGAGATCTGGACAGTATCTTTTAATTTCAAATATATTTCTTGTAAATTTGAATTGTTTAGTGCTTATTTGAAGCATAAAATTTCAATTGATACCAACCTAGAAAAGAGATTGTTGACTTCTGTAGTTAATTTGGCAGATCAGCTCTGCCTGAAATATTTGCAATTGGAAGATGAAACCACTTTTATAGCTTTATATACCTATTCAGCTCAAACGTAAGTTTTTTCATGTTGTTTTGTGAAATTCTTATAACTCTCGTGTGGTAAATTGGTGAAATAAATGTTGCTGATATATTTTTTTTCTTTTTTGCAAGTTAGTTTGTGTGTGAAATCATATATTATCTGATGTAGGTGTTGGTCCTGCCACAAAATCCAGGTTAGAAACACTTGGCATAACCACATGTGGTCAACTTCAATCTCAGTCCCTTCAATTATTGCAAAAAGAATTTGGTCAAAAAACTGGTCAGTCTCTATTTGACCACTGTAGGGGCTTGGATCACCGTGTTGTAAAGAGTGAAAAAGAACGTAAATCGGTATCAGCAGAAGTAAATTATGGTATTCGCTTTGAAAAAGTGAGTAACCCTTTTTTTACTTCTGATATCAAATCAACCAGACATAAACAGTAGTTTACAGATCGTTAATTATTAGTGTTATGTAAAACACCTTATACACCAGGTGGGCAGCATGTTTTAATCACAAAAAAAATCTGAAATTCACTATCAATTTATGAATTCTATTAAAAAATTTTAAATAGAACAATTATTAACATTTTATGTAATAATACAGAAAAGTATGCTTTGATCTACGTTAACCCTTTGGATATGGCAGGCTCAAAGTGTGCATGTCATGACCTTTTACAGAGTTAAAAAGTATTCATATATATTTATGGTTTTGTACTTCTGATTTTAGGAAAACGAGTAAGTTCAAGAAGTCAATTTAACACAAAAATACTATACCCTATAACCTGACTGCTTTCGAAAGTTTGCCCTTTTGAAAGAGCTTGGGTTATAGGTATTGTATTTACAGTTTTGTACCAATGTTAAGTTATAATTTTTACATTATTTGTAGTTATCTGGACCTTTAAAGCAAATTTCACAAATTTAAGCCAAACATTTTGTTGAAAAGATCTTCTATCAAGACCTTGAAAACAAGCTATATATCACATAAAATGTCAGTCATAATGAAATTAACACATTGGGTATACACTTGATGAATAAGATTTGGTTGAACCCTTTCTTGACTAGCTTTTCAGTAACCTTCTTGCCATAACTATTCATAAAATCTTTCTGCATTAGCAGAGAAATGTACTGGGCATTTTTTGAGGCAGTCTCAAAATGTTCCTTAAGCCTAATATCACCAAAGGTCACCACAAAGCGAAGCAAGTCTTGGAAGACTCACTCATTTTCTATTGCTTTCTTTTGAATGTCATTTGCCTCCTTGTGACCTCTCAGTGGTAGTTCGCATAATTTGACCCCTGGAGTCTGAGGAAACTGATGCTGCAATAATGTCAGGTTCAGCTAACAGGCTGGTAGCCACGGACACTGAAAAATAACTCAAATAATGTTTTCCATAGCCAATTAAGTTGTCTATTTACAACAAAAACTACTCATTTCTCTGTTTGCATGACATTTAATTCCTTATTACTAAACCTCTGATGAATAGTTTGAAGTATGGAAAGCCAGAAAATGATCTGAAACAACTTTCAAATATAATATTTGGTAAGTATTGATTTTTCAAACAAAAAAAGTTTAATTGGGATTGGATTTTTGAGTTATTCTTACAACACAGTTAAGGATCAAAAAACAACTTCATAAATTTAGCTTTTATGACAGTCTAGACATAAAAATTTAATGTAGAATTATTTTCAAAATCATGAAGATATTTTTCAAGGGGTTTCTATAAATCACTTACCTGGGACATCCTTTACCATATTTTT